TGATCTATGGTGAGAAAATCTGCAAAGCTCTTTGCTCCTTCCTTTCTTCTGTAGTCACTGTGTGACCTACTCCTTAGTTACATCGGTGAGAATCCAGAAATCTGGGAGCTTTTTGAGTAAAAACAAAGCACAACGTGAACTTTTTAATTGACTCTCCCTGTCCCTGTTCAGAACCATTTCTGTGCATTCTACTTGGGAAAGACCACCAGTGTCAGCCCCTCTGCATAAAATTAAAGCTGGCACTGAAAGGTCTCTGTGAGCAACGAGGGTTTTGAGCAAGTCTGGACGGCACCATGTACTCATTTCTGAACTCTGCTGATGTTTGCTCCTTTTTAATTTTTCTAACATACTAGAGCATCTGATCCTAACAGCTTCCTTTTGTTTTCTGCAGAAAAACCCAGAGGAGGACAACTCGGGGAGGGCGCTGGGCTGGGCGCCAGGGCGCCTGCTGCTCACCGCGGGCTCCGTGCGCAGCGTCGAGCAGCTGCTGCCCTTCTTCAGTGCGCTGAGCCAGGTCTTCAGCAGCAGAGTCCCCGGCCGCTGCGGAGGACACTCAGGGAGCCCCGTCCTCTACTCAAACATCTTCCCTAACAAGGACATGAAACTGGAGAACCAGAAACCATTTTCCAGCAAAGCCAGGCAAAAAATAGAAGAGATGGTAGAAAAGGATTTTCTGGAAGGAATGATAAAAACTTGAGCACCACCAGTGGTTCCATTTAGCGCAACTGTGGTTATTTAAAACAAACACACTGCTCTGAGTTGTACAGTTCCTTTTTTTTTTTTTTTTTTTGTATGTAACAAAACACACTTCAGGTTGTATTTAATTTAAATAATTTGTAAATAAGAGCAAATGTCTGGATGTGGCCTGAATCAAGTTTAAATATTGTAGGCTCATATGGATTATGGCGCCTGAGAGAGAGAGAGATACATACAGTCCACTGTTTTTACTGTCCTGAGTTGTCTACCACCTGCAAAATATACACTACACATTTGTTTCTGTTGGTTTCAGGCTCGGTTTAATTAACACTGGTTGGGGATTTTTTCTTTCTTTCCCTTATTACCCATGTTCCAATATCAGAATGGTGTCACTTCTCCGGCAGAGGGTGGGTGACAGTTTACAATTAATTTTCCTCCCTGGACCATCACAGAACAGGGAGGGTGCCGGGGCCCTGCATCCTCCCCAGTGTGGCCCAAGTTCCACGCAGCCTGAGGAGGTGGTCGGCCTCCCTGTCCCCCAGGCTCCTGCGGGGGGACTGAATAGGCAAGCTAGCCAGCACTCACTCTGCAGACTCCGCAGTGGGGACACTGGTATCTCCAGGCCCCTCCACCCTCTCTGCTGTGGCAGCAACAGCAAGTGCTGCAAAACGGCCTCTTGCTCAGACACCCTCGCAGGCGTGCGTGTGACAGGTGTGACCTCCCAGCAGCCTGCCACTATGAAGTTAGTAATTGAATCGTACGCTTAAGCCCAGGATTCTACGTTAGTGACACTGAAATTAGAGGTGAGTTTCTTTAACAAGTATAATAAGGCTTACAGATTTCTAAAGAATCATTCTGGTAGTGTTTAAGAAAAGCAATTAGATCTAAAAATCTAGTAAGGTACATTGTAAACATTATGATTATAAATGTCACAGTATTGTCAGAATTATTGATAGTTTCACAAAAAAATTTTAAATCCAGTTTCTCAGGAATATGAAAATTATCTTCAGAAACACGGTTGGGGTCTCTCTCCGATTCCTCCAGCCAGCTGAAATACTGCCAGGCTCACTTCATGTGCAAGGTGGTCTGCGCTGTCCTGAAAGTCAGATTAAAGGGAGGGATGAGGAGGGCACAGAGCCCACCACATGCAACTCCAGGGGGCAGGGTCCTGGGTCATCTTTTGCTAACATTCAAATGAAAACTTCTTTCTTTCATCTTTCAGTAACAGATTCCTAAGGCCCTTAAATAAATGCAAAACCGTTCAAATTCTTCTAAATAAGGTAAGTTTTTGGTTAATCAATTCAGGTTATAAAATGAGTTATCCATACAAAACTCTAAATAAACCTATTCACTTAAGGGCATGAAGGCCACACTTGCCTGAGAGTATGTCTCACACAGCCTCAGCTGTGCTCCTGAGTCCAGCAGGGACGCTCACTCACTGGCTTCTGGGAGAGCTGCCCTATCTCACATGAGTCAGTGCTCCTGAGGCCCCAGCTCAGCATGCCCACTGCGCCCTGCCCTGAGTGCACAGACCCTGCACAGAGGGTGTGAGAATGGTAAACCATAACCCCTAAGCCTTGTCCTTGGCAGTAAAAGGCAGGGCAGGGCCAGGCTGTCCTCTCCAGGACGTAGGAAAAGCCAAGGGAGAGTCCAGACACAAAGATGGTGCCAGATGGTTAGAAATGGACTAAAAACTGGCTATTTTCATCAAGTCCCAGATTATAATAATCTCCTTCACAGTATATAAATTACTTATTAGTTACTCCTGACTTAAAAATGACACTTTTCAGGAAGTCTGGAATAAATCAAAAGAAAAATCCTTGGAGATATACGCTAAGTGGGTTCAGCTTTGTTCAGCTATTCACTGCTGATTAATATTCTGTAGTCTGACTGTGCGCCAGAGCATCTCCATCAACAAATGCCAAAGACATGAACTTAACTACCACAGCGAGTGTGCAGACACGGTCCTCCCTCCCCGTCTTATTAGATAATCACTGCACGTTTTTTCACTAGAACTACCCCAGCTCACTTGAGAGTCAGCTTCCGCGTACACTCGGACCACATCTTCTGTGCCAGAGGGCCGGACGAACGCACGGGACAGCCGGTACTTCTGCACGAGGCCGTCGATGGCCTCCTGCAGCCCCGGGGGTGTGACTGCTCGCGTCTCGGCGTCCGTGGTGCTGATGACCCTCCTGTCTGCAACCTGCACACAGCACTGCACATGCGTCACTCTGCTGCTCTGTCTTTAGACGCATAACCTGTTCAACATGATTCCCCCAAAGATTCTGCCACCGCCTCTAACAGGTCAGCCCTGCATTTCAGGTGGTGTTCACAACATGCAGCACCGAACTTCATAAAAGTCACTAAGTATCACTGTCCAAGGTCACGGTTATTACTCTCAACATTTGTATACTTTTTTTTTTTTTTTTT